TGAATGTAAAATTGACATTATATAAGTTCTAACCAGCAAAGTTCTATAGTCGTGAATTTTCAATTTTCAAACAAACAACTTAAAACTAAAACGACACTTATAAAATATTTAAATCGAGTATATATTATTATTATTACCAAAAATTGTATATAAAAAATACAAATAAAATTAACAGTTGTAAAGTTTCAAACAACTTAAAACTGAAACGATGCTTATAAAATATTAAAATCTAGAATATATTATTATTGCAAAAAAGTGTACATTAAAAATACAAATAGAGTACACTTTTATAAGGTAAATAGATATACACAATAACCGAAGCATAACCTTTGACACGACTTTGTCTATCACATAAGTTTAAACAATAAGTCCATTAAATTATTATGTGAAATTAAACATCCATTCCATCCTCATCATCATTTCATATAATACACACTTGCACAATCCGTGCTCACAGCTTGCCATCTTATCACGTTGTCATCTTATCATGCATAACATGTTTTCAAATACATTTACATTTCATTTTCATAGTTAGATTATATAACTATATCACATGCATGGCCATGTAACACAGCTTTTAACATTTAATCATGTAAGCACATAGCAAATAGGCATACTTTCAAAACTGTAAACATATAAACAAGTAGTAAATAAGCAAGCTTCTCAAAACATTAAACACTTTAACAGTCAAAACTTCCAAATCAACTCAAGTCCTACTTAGGTCAGCCCTACCTGTCGTCCTTAGGTTTTCGAACCTAAAGCTCTGATACCAAATTTGTAACGACCCAAATCTACTGGATCCGGATCATTAAACTGGTCCTTACCTGACCCAAAATCATCCAAGGGTAATATGGTCCTTTCACGTTAAATGTGTATTTTAAAGTCCAAAAAGGACAACGTGATAATTTGCTACAATTCAAATGGTTTGAAACTCAAAGGGGCACAATAGTCATTTACTCGTATCACATTAAAAAAAAAAAAAAAAGAAGAAGAAGATAAAGTTCGGGGCAATATAGTCTTTTCTATGGTTAAAATATAATTATTGTATTTTACTGGGCCTTATAATGTGTGACAATACATTTGAGTGAGTGGTTAAGGGCAAAATGGAAAAAAAAAAATAAGTCACATACATTTACTACACAGGAACCGGTCGATGTATGGGGAGTTATACGTCAACTGGTTTGAGACGTGTACATTAGAAAACTCTCTGCAAGATACTGGTCAACGTGTGGGAATTTCACGTCGACTGGTTCTAGGTTATCCATACTCAAAATGTTCACTGCCCGAGATTCACCAACATTGGTAACCAACCACCCAACACCACCATACTCACGTACATATTTAAATATATTTCAACATTTAATACAATAATAACAACAACGTTAACATAATTTACAACACGTTACATAAAATACACTAAATGATTTAGTGTAATTAAACTTCATTACATTTCCCTAATGGTCATATACAAAATGAATCTAAATATTTCACATGCTGCAAAATGATACATTTTGGGTCAACACTTTACAAAATGAGGCCTAATACAAAAGGTAGCAAAAAGATACATTCTTCTAATTCAAGCTAAGACTGTGGTAGATTGTCGCCCGCCACTTCTTTTCACGAACCTGAAAATGTTAAAATAATGGTGTGAGCTAAACGCTCAGTAGGAAGTGTCTAAGACACACTTCTTATGACTCCGTGAATCCACGTAAGGAATAGGTGAAAGAAAACGGGATTATAACATAGAAGGTGCATGGCAACAACTACAACGACAAGTATATAACAATTGTCATCCAAACACATACACACCATATACTCTAATGAAGTGCAATGTCATGCAAATGTCGCTCCCCATATCCGAAACATTTCCGTTTCAACTTCCAAACCGTTAGCGTAATCTGACCCAAGGCACCTCCAAGGCGTCACGAAAGGAGGATTGACTAATCATCCACGACCACAAGGCACCTCAAGGCGTCACATCCAACCCAGTTAGCTCAACCATACTCCCCTCTAGACTACATTAACACCACGGACCACTAGGCGCCTCCTAGGCGTCCGGGTTTTCACAAACACTTTAAGAAAACTTTTTCCAAAACAATTTCACTTATTTTAAAAACATTTTTCCCATTTTTCTATCCCAATGAATGCATGAAATGTTTCATTCTTCAATTCATCAATTCCACCATAAAACTCTCAAACATGCTATATAAAGCAAATTTCTAAGCTACATAACTAAAGTTCTTATTTAACATTAACTTTGCATAACAAGCATATAAGATATGGATTCAACTTCATGTAAGCATATTTAAACACTATAAAACAACTACCAATTAGTCACATATATTCCATACCTATTATTTAAGTAATTTTTACAAAAATTAAAACTAATTGAATTTGCTAGACATCAATTCAAGTTATAAAACTCACAAAAGTATAAGAAATCATGTATTAGAACACTCCCTACCTCTTAGGATGCAAAACCCCCAATTTTCAAGCCCTAATTTCAAAAATTCAATGGTTGGCCAAATAAGAAATTGCTTGCATCAATATGCAGATCTCAACAAGCTCTCCAATTTGCTATAAACGGCACCCAAAAACTCACAAAATTGAGGGAGTAATCAAGGATTGAATTTAGTGAAGGAAAGAAAAAGAAAAACCAAGAAATGAGAGAGTGAGAGAGGGCTTACGGGAGAGAGAATGAAAAATGAGACCAAACATGGTCTCATGACACTAAAATGGGTGATGGTGGGCCCCCCTCCAAAAAGATTTTCTTTTAACATTAATTTTTACGACAAATTCATATATATATATATGCTACTTATTTTACAACCACACAAAATGACACACAACCATAAAAATATGCATGGAATGCAATGGACCCAAAATAAAATCTCTGTACACAAGAATCCCAATAGCGGGTCCTAACCGAGACCGTCCGGCCTGAAAAAGGGAAAAATACGTAAATGGCAACACTTGCATTTCAAAGATTCCTGAACTCCATGAAATACCTCAACCAGCTCCCGGACACACCTGGCACACCCCATGGTGTCCGATACGCAAAACAAAAAAAGACAAAAATGCCCTCGCAAAAACAGAAAATTCCAGAAAATAAAAAATGGCAAAAATCGGAAACATTACAAAATTGTTAGAAATTGTTATGAGAAAGCGTGTTAATTGTGTGATATTAATTTCCCCATTCTCATAATATTGACAAAACATGTATATGCATTCAAGGCATGGAGCATGAAAAAGGGTAAAGTGATTTGAAAATGATGAAAAATGGATTTTTGAGGAAAGTTTTGGTAAAACGGGTTTTTGAGAAAATCGATCGTCGCGGAGTCACCAAAGGGCCGGTGTGTTAATATAACCTAGAGGGAACTAAGGAGATCGCCCTAGCGTGGTTGTACTAGCTGGGCCCCAAATGACGCCACGGGGGTACCAAGGGTCAGGGACAGTAGCCAATCCTTCTCTCATGTTGCTGCGGAGTCACCAAAGGACAGGTTATATTAACAGCTTGAAAAGTGATGGATTTGAATTTTGAAAATGGGGAGCGATATACATGACATTGCATATCATGGCATGGCATTGTTTATTTGAAATTGGAATTTATGTTGTATTCTTTTCCAGCATAGCATGGCCCCTATTCTCTGTTCCTATTCATTATTTCGATTCACGGGGCCACAAGAGGTGTGTCTTAGGCACCACCTACTAAGCAATTTACTCATCCCATTATATTTAACATTTTTTTTCAAGATTCGGGAAAGAAGTTGTGGACACTGAACCATCACAAACTTAAAGAGGACTATGAATATATTTTTTTTATTTATTTTTTATTTTTTGTTATCTTTTATATTTTGCTACACTTTTGTAAAGTCTCAAAACCATAGTGAAGTGTACACATTTTGCAAGCCATGGTCATGTATTGTAAACTATAACTCTTGTTGGTACTTTGGAGGGAAGCAAGACTATGTAATTATTTTGTATTAAATGGGATAATGATGGTGGACCATCTTGAGGAGGTTGTTGATGTTGTTTTGGGAAATGTATTATATTTTTTTGTATTGTGTGTTGGGATAGGTTGGATTAGTCTTGAAGGGTCAAGAAAAGCCATTGCATATTTTTATTATTATTAAAGCATGTTGTTGTAGGTCCCTTTTTAGCAAAGGTCATGCTGATTTTTTTTATTTTTATAATTGATATCTGTTTAGGGTCGTTATAGTATTATTGGTATTTCACATTCAAGAATTTTATATTTTTTTATAATAAATTAATAATTAAGGATAAATTAGTAATTGTAGCTTTAAAGGGAGTATTTTATTTGCTTTTAATAGTTAAGGGAGGTAACTTGCTTCCAAAAATAATTTTTAGGCATTATACAACTATTGTACAATTTAGGGGGCTTTTTGCCAAGAAATTAATAGCGTTCCCAAGTACCATTCTAGCCTCTCTTTCTTCTTTTCTGGTAAATAGGAATCGTCCGATATTTATTAAAAAATATTGTTACGAGACGAGCCAAGAGCGACGAGCGAGAAGCCAGAGTGGAGGAGCTAGAGAGAGAGGAGCGGGGGTAGAGAGAGAAAGTGATGAGCGACTAGGAGTGGCGGTAGAGAGAGAAAGGGGGAACCGATGGACAAATAAGAAATAAAAAATAAAAAATAAAAAAAATGGGCCCATGTTTCTACAGCAGTCACGTGCAATATTTATTAAAAAATACTGTTACAAACATATCAATAGCAGCATTTTTTAAAAATTGCTGTTTAAATTTTGCCACCACATCAGTATTTTGGTGTAGTGCTAGCCTGTTTGCAGGAGTTCAAATTGATCAACTCTCATTATCAACTTATACTAAATCTACGGTTATATCTATTCATGACAATAGGCTCCAGCTAGATGGTATATGCTCTCCTCTCTTTTTGAGAGGTTGAGTATTCGAGCCCAAGTGAGAGCAAAAATATATAATGAGTGTGTGTATTTGCTTAAATTTTTGAAAATATTATATATGTATACAAGATGTGCTCCATGAAAATAATTTGATACAGTATGTTCCATTAAGAATTTCAGCAAGGGGTACACTAAACGTTCATACAACTTGTGCTGAAATCCAAACTGATGCATCACTTATTTTCATTCATAAAATGCAAACTAAGCAATATTTCTAAATTGGAATTAGCTATGGAAGGAAAATTTATAGAGTTCACAACTAACAGCTGTAAGAAGCACCTTATTTGACACCAAGTGAGGAATCTGTCCACACTATTGTCATTGTAGCCTCTTTTTCTTTTCTGAAGTACTTTGTATCATGCATACAGCTCCAAGCTAGCTAACCTTTGGGTGGGAATAGCAATCAGTGAAGTTGTTTTCTTCATAACAATCCCAAATTTCTCTGAGAGATCAAGCACTTCGCCCTTTGGCATTTGCCACTCGAATGAGTGCAAGAGCGAAGCCAATATGTACATAAGCATTCTCTCTGCTAGAGGTAAGCCCGCACACATCCTCCTTCCAGATCCAAATGGAAGATACTGAAGATTGTTGCCATTGTAATCCCATTTGCCCGGTTCACTCAAGAACCTCTCAGGCTTGAACTCAGATGGATCATCCCAAACCTGAGGGTCCCTATGCAATGCCCAAACATTAAGAAAGACCTTAGTGTTCTTTGGTATGGTGTAGCCACCTACTGTGCAAGATTTACTCGGAGACTTTGGGAGTAAGAGAGGGAGTGGAGGGTGTAACCGGAATGTTTCCTTCACAACTGCATCCAAATACTGTAATTTGGGCAGATGGGACTCTTCAGCATTGTTCATTCCAACAACTTCTGCTAATTCTTCTTGGACATTTTTCATTACTCCTGGATTGTACATGAGCTCTGCCATCACCCACTCAGCCATGGTTGCTGTTGTGTCAGTCCCACCAGCCACAATGTCCTGTTACAAACATTTTGCTAGCATAAGTTCAATTCTCAATATCATAAGTTTGCATAAACTGATTCTACTATAGGATATGACGCATTTTTTTGATCTATTTGTTTAGTATGGCATCAGAGCACAATCAAGTGCAATGAATAGGCCTAGTTCTCTATGAAGGTAATTCGATTATAGGATAAAGTGATTGATAAAATCTTCTGGTATTAACTCTACAATTAGGACCAATCATGTGATGGATACCATCTAAATCAAGTGCATAGCAAGTCTGTTTCATTGGTTAAAAGCTTAGATTTAACCATCCAATATAAAATCTAGAATGAATGACTAGAACTAAATGAAACTAAAAATAAATGAAGAAACCCATAAGATGAACTATAGAAGTATAAAATCTAGGTGAGACCTACTGCGTTGTAAGGATGTGCCTAAATATCTGCTAAACATGCAGTATCATAAATGTTGGCAAAAGAAATTACCATCAATATGGCCTTGATTTGTGTCAAGGTGAGTGGACTTGCAGTATCTTCCTTCTCCTTCAGTGCCAAAAGAATGTGAAGAAAATCCTTCCTTTCTTTGTCCTCGGACACACCTGCTCCCTCGCAACTGTCCAATCTCATCCGTTCAGCTATGACAGCATCTAGTATTCGTTCCACCCATGCTACGAGCCTCTTTGCTTGTCGCTCCACACCCTGTATATCATACTTTGCCAGCATCGGAAAAAAGTCAGATATGTTTGGTTTTTCCGCTAGTCCAATGAGTTTTTCGATCACCTCCTGAAACTCATCTTGAACACTACTATTCTTCTCCCCTTCTAGTGTGCCACCCCACAACATGCTCATCACAACATTTGATTCTGTCGAAAAAATTATTTTTCCAATATCCAAAGGCTTGCCAATCTTGGCATACACATCTCTAATTGTCTTCCTAACCTCTTCTTTTCGAAGATTGTAACAAGCCTCAAGATTGGTCTTACTCAGCATCTCTCGCACAAACGCTTTGCGCATACTGCGCCAGTAGGAGCCATGTGGGCTCCATGCGATATCAAGCCCCCCAAATGAGGAAACCAATGCTGCAATGGTCGCATCACGATTAGCAAAACTTATGTCCTGGTCGCGAACCACCTCTTTTGCAAGGGAGGGTGAGCTCAGAACTATACAGAGTTTTTTTCCGAGCCAGAGCTTGTAGATTGGACCATAACGATGAGCCAATTCTGCAAATGTGACGTGCAGGTTGGTGCCTAGAAATGGGAGGTACCCAACAACTGGCAAGCCACGAGGCCCTGGTGGCAATGGAGCCACTCCTTTTCTTGACTTCACAGATGTCCATAGGTACCAGAAGATCGCTAAAATCACCCCTGAAACAGTGAGAATTGATCGAGCAAGCTCATCTTTTTTGTTGCTGCCCTTCCACCACCATGTCCATTGTTCATAACTTGTATGTGCAGTCTCGTTTAGAAGATCAGAATTCATGTTCGCAGACTATTGATTTCAAAAATTAGATTATAGAAACTAGTTTAAAATTTTCTGCATAGAAGAGCATACTATAGGCATTGAACTAAATGGTAGTGTTAATTTAGATAAGAAAGGATCTAATAATTGAAGATTGACACACAGAAAAAAAAATCCTAGATATTTTAACAAAGTTTCAGATAAGGCTAGGCACTTGAAAGCTAAACTTATGGTCAGGAATTGAATGATATATTGACAATCGGGCAAATGGTTGAATAATTTACATGTATAAGATAACATGAGTAAGTATGGGTGTGGGACAACAACTTTTAAGGTTTGTCAGTTTAATTGTTATCATAAATAAATTAAATGCCACTGTTATTAGTTTTTGATAATTGAAAAATTGTGGATGTAGTTGTTTTTCTTTATAGAAATTGAGAACGCTGCTAATCAATAATAAAGGAGTACTTGCATGCATTAATGATGTGTCCTGTGATGCTGTTGTATAACAGATTTTCAACTTTAGGTGTTTGTAAATTGTAAGTTAGTACAGCTGCCAAGGATTGCAATGAAGCGTTCCTATTTGCAATCAAAAAGATAAAGCAGCTATCTAAAGGTGGTTTTAGTTTTGTCTTTTTTAGAGCTTTTGAGTATCGGAGACAATTAATTTGAAAGAAGTATTTGAAGGTGCTGTGATTGAAAAGATGGCAGTACGTGTCTCTGAGGGGGGTATGAATGCAAAAAAACAGATTATTTGACTGTATGGCAGGAAAAAAAAACAAAAAAAATCTTTGACTTTTTGCACATAAGGTTACGCACGTGGTCAGGAATTGAATGACATCTTGACAATAGATGACATGCGTAGTTGTAAAGCAGAGAAATAAAATTTTAACTCTTTGTCCATTTGGTTAGTGTAATAAAGTGACTTGTCCTCCATTAAATTTGAATGAAGAGGTGATTGAGTATAAATAAATAAATATATAATTTTATTTAATAATTTAAATTTTTAAATAAATAAATAAATGTTTGATCATTATAATTAGTATTAGAGCCAGACCTCCTTCATCTGATACCACCACGTTAAGCGCCCAATCCAGAAGGCGTCCGAGTGACTCACCGAGGTAGGCAAAGTGACTCGAGCCGCAATAAAGACATTACGAATTTATGTAAGAGAGAATGTAATAAGGGTCATTTATCTCACATTGGATCCAGATAGAAAAGTGAGTAGGTATACAACCCTACTCAATAACTTGAATTTTTGGATAAATGGACAAGTCCTCACTCGTTACAGTTAGGTAGGACTGCAACTTGGGCGAGTCGGGAGGTTTTGAGGTATAACTTGAACCTAATTTACCATATGAAATGTTAAACCCAACCCTATCTTCAACTCGAACCCAACCCATCATTCTATTTTTAAATTCAGACTTGCAACTCAGACTCTTAAATATATATAATAATAAATAAATAAAAGTTTAAAGATATTTTATAAATTTTGAATAAATTACAAACAAATTCTTAAAAAATTAATTGTCTTAAATATTAGGGTTAAGTGCAATTAACCCCTCGCTATGTACAAAATGTGCAATTAATCCCCTCATGTTCAATAAATTCCCTTCTAATTTTCGATTGGTGTAAATAAGGACTTTTGAAGAAATTAAACCATGAATTGACTTATGTACCCTTATAATAAAATAAAATAACATTTAAGAAATGTTTTCAGGGATTGATAAAATTGTCTCCATCTTTTTCTGGACAAATAAAAAACATAAAAACCCAATAAAACCTGCCACATCATAAAAAAATGTGGACATATAAGTAATTTTTAACCTGCCCTTCTCCCCCACCTTCTCTCAATCATTGCCCATCATCAGAACCAACCGACGAGATCGAGCATCACCTCAACCACCGCCCGCCATGGCACCACCAAAAACCAACCCCTCTCTTCGTTGCTCTCTATGTTTACCCGTCACCACAACCACCGGCAGCCACCGATGCACTCTCTCTATACACTTTTGGTTTAATGATGGTAGATTTTGAGTTTAATGTATATAACAGTATATGTATATATATATATATATATATATATATATATATTAGAATATTGAGCATAAGTGTTGAATGGGTTTGGTAAAGCAAGTGTTGTATATGGGTCATTTGAAACTCACGGGACTGTGTGGTTAATTTATGAAATAAATTTTGTAAATGAAGATAGGTCATGTAGATGAAGACAAATTTCTGTAAGTGTTATTTGTGAATTCTTGTCTAATTCTATTGTTGGTTCCTTACAAGGTGGGTTTGGCCATTGGACAACATTTAAAAATGTGAAAGTTTAAGCATTGGTTTAAGAAGAAGAATTTCTTTTCCAGTGGCAACTGAGTATTGAATTGTTACATTGTATATATTTAGTTCCTATAGAAATTGAAATAAGTCCATCCAGTTTTCAGATATATCAATGTATTTGTATCTAATACTTATATGTGTACGTGTATGTATATAAATATATTTTGTATGTTTGGTCGCCATTCAAAAGCTCATGGGTTGGTGTTGGGTTCATTATATATATACATATGTACATGCGTAAGAAATTTTGCATTACTTTTCAAGCAATTTGCTAACTATTGGATCTCATAATTTTTTGGTAAAATAGTGATTTTTTGGCATAAATGATTATCGCCGGAGCCTCGTGAAAATGTCGATGATCGAGCTATGTGTAGAGAGAGAGTGAGTGGAGAAAGAGAGTGGAGAGAGAATGGAGAGAGAATGAATTTTTTATTTCTTACATGAGCACTAAGGGTATTTTGGAATTTTAATAAAATATTTGGTTAACATGGATGATTAAGGGGTAATTTGTTCAAAAGATAAATAATATAAAGAATTATATACACTTTTTTTTTAATAAGGGTGTTTCTTGTATATTTTTTAGGGATTATTACACATAAATGGACTTAGGGTATCATATTTACTAAGAGATTGAGTCAAAGTCCCATAGTTTCTTTAAAATGGGTTTGACCCAAAAGCTGAGGTGGCACATGAAAAAATACTGTTTGATATTTCTGTTGCCTAAAATACCCTTCTTCCTATTTTATGTGTTGCCTAAAATGCCATTTTCTACACTTGGCTAATTTCAAGCCCTAATGCCTTTCATATTCCATTCGGTGTAACCCTCTCTCACGACTCTTTCTCCCTCACTTGTTTCCTGCGATACAGATACAATCTGCCATGGCACGAACAATCTTCGATCTGCTAAAGGGAAATCAAATACTCAGGCTCAACGGTTCCTCTTTCCCTCTTTGCTGAAACCCTAGCCTTTCTCTTCCTAATTTCTGGTGTAACGGCAATAACTGGACGGTTGCAAACAATTGGGGTTTTTTACCGTCATCTCAGCCTCCGGTCACGTTATAACTCTTGAAATAGGTACTTTGACCTAATTAGAGCCCTAATGCTCTTTCATATTTCTATTTGTGCAGACCCTTCTCTCTCCCATTCTCAAATGAGACCTAGCCCTCACTCTATTGAATCCATCAATGAAAGCCTAACCCTTTCTAAGCACTGATATAACTTTGCCTCAATCACAAAGGCTGATTGTTTGAAGCTTTGTCTTTTGCAAGTTTCACCTTCAGAGGAAAATCGCCCAGGTACTGGCCTTGTTCTCCTTTCTTCCTTTTCTAAACATTCATTGATCTTTATTATTCTGCTTTCTTCCTTCTCTGAACTCTCATCAATTTTCTAATTTTTTCTTCAATCGCAGAAGTTATTTCTTCAAGCATAGGGATAAGCCCTAACCCTTTCTAACCCGGGTACTATTTTCCAATTTCCTCTTTCATCTCTGCCTTCCCCTAGAAAGTTGTAGAGTCTCTCTGTAAATGATACTATGTGTTGAAAATTTTAATCAATTAAGTTGTTGTTACTTTCTGCTGACATGATTTCAATTCATGTGTTGTTTACATATTCACTAGATTTGAGGATTCATATGCTGTAAGCTGTGTTTTTCTGTCTTATGAAGTTGCTGGTTTTTTTTTATTCTCTTTTATTTATTTATTTTTTTAATAGAAGAATGATTCAGTTTTATCCTTTTTGGTTTTGGTTGTGCTACTGCTCCAATTCGGTGCATACTAATTTGCAATAAAAAGTGGAACTAAACTTTCTTGTTTCTCCAAAGATAAGATTAGAGGATTTTTTTTACTTTAAAAAAAAAAGATAAAAAAATATTAGAGGATTTTTCAAAATAACTGCATACCAGTAATACTGGTAATTTCTTTGTAGTCTCATTGTAAATATGACTATGATTACTATTGATAACTCCTCTGTTCATGGTAGGTGTGATGGCAATACAATTATTGGTTATATATTATGCAAGGAAGTAAATAAGTCAAATCCAAAAGTTAAGGGAAAAATAACTGTGATGTTAATGAGTTCTCATTGGGAAACACTTGCAACTAATCATGCAGAATTTCATAAAGTTGTGGTAAATCTCAAATTTCTGTTGTTTCGAGACAGGAAACCTTCACTGACTTCAATTTTTTGTAGATAATGACAGGATAAGTTCTCAGCTAGTGAAGATAAAGTGGAAGTTGTTATTAAGATTTTTTAAACTGATGTCATTCCTGTTCTTGTGAACTTTAGAGGGTTAGGTTCTATAATCCTCTTAAGAATATAATCGAAATCACTATAAATTATATTAACCCAAAAAGACAATCAGAGCTACTTCACCAAAAACCCATAAGCCTGAACTCTCTTCAAGGACTTCACAACTGTGACTAGTACCATGTGATGAGAGGTTATATACAAATTTATAAACTCAATCTACCATATAGCACAAATCCATGTATAATGGGTAAGGCAGTCAAGTAGTTCCTAATATAGTAGTAGTTATGTAAGGAAAAAGCTCTTCAATATTGGTATGTATAGAAGAGACTACGTACCTATGCTATGTCTGACTGTGTAGTTAAAAGTGCTATTTTATAGCCAGAAGTTAGACACATACGCGATAACTAAGTGGTTGCCATAGGGAATATCGGAAAGAAGTAGTACCTTAATCTGCTACAAAATAAGGAACTACGGCTACAAAATATTTGCTACAAGATATGGAGTATATATGTATTGGCTACTAACTACCTCCTGGGACATAATATGCACTACCTCCAATAATGATACTAACATTATATTTCTTCAATTATTTGGTACAATTTCAAGAATCTTGTTTAGTCACTTTTGTTTTTTTAGATAATTACTCCAAAAATATTATTTTTAAGTTTTCTAGTTAAGTTTAATGGTGGTTAATAGCATGCTTTTTACATACGTGCTTTAATTTTGGTGAGAAGGTGAATATAATGATTATGGAAGTATCAACTAGGTATAATCTCTTATATAGGAATAAGTAGTTGATATATTCTACCAACAATTGCAGTTATCTTATACAATAAATGTGTTAATTATTTCATCTTTGTCTTAGTTTTGCATCTTTAATCTTATGACTTTACTTCTCAATTATTAGGGATTAGATTCCATATTATGCCTATTTGATTACTGAAATGTCACAATTTTCTCCCCTTACCAGAAACATATGCATACTAAAGATTTCTTTCTATTAAAATGTTGAATTCCAAGCGAATAATGTACTTCTTTTGTAGATTTTATACCTCAAGTTGCTAAAATTTTGTTCCAGACATTCCATCAAGCTAAAGTACAATTATTTCTAATAACGTAACAGTAGAAGTGCATGTTATTCCCAGCCATGAAAATAGTATTTTCTCTCTATTTTTTTTTCCTTGGCAAACTAGAAGGAGAAAGGACTCGAACACAGGAAGCTGGCCACTCTATCAATTAGGCCACTGGGTGATACTCTTTTCTCTATAGAATGAACAAGTTGACTGAAAAATAATTTAGGATAAGTAGATTATTGTTGATTAATTAATCTCATTTTGTTGGATTTGTCTTACTAATAATGGTGTCTATGCAAAATTTCATTTTGTAGCATATGTGGATGATGTTTCTTTGTGTATGTTGAGAATTAACAATGTAGGACAAAGGGCTAGCTATGTCATTAAATTTGTTTGGTAGAAGGCATGGACTTTGGTATTGATCATCCCAATCTTTTATAAAAGTTTAAGTCATTGCTTGGACTTTTTAAGTTAAGATGTAGGTTAAATTAGGCTAGAACACAACAATTTTGAACTGTCTATTATTTGGTAGCAGAGAAAATAAGGAAAGAAGAAAAACTTTAAGATTAACAAGTTTCTATAAAGGAGTAGAATTGTTACAAGATTCCATGTTTCCTAATTTCTTCTTGTTTTCCCAATTTCTTGGCAACCAAACATAGGATAAAGTATAAGGACTTAGGAAAAGATTGGTTGAATGGACTTGTATCCAAATTTTCAGATTTTCCAATAGTTATTAGGAAGCCTTTTTATGCATAATGTACAGTTTATTGCAAATTTCAATCACTTGTGAAAGTAGTACAGCAATTATTGAACCTTTTTTTACTATTTCGTTGTTATTATTGTATATATGTTTGAATATTGTTGATGTAGCAAGTCTCATGATTGTTTTTTCCTTTATACCTTATGTGGATACATAATTTGAAACTTTGAACTAGCATTTAGAGACATCGTAGAGCATTCCTTGGCAGATTATCCTGTTAATTTAAGTTTTTCATGCGTTTCACCTATCTTTTAGATTTGATATTCATTTGTTTACAGAAAAAGAAGTCAATGGTCCAAATTTAATCAACAATTAAAACTAAGAATCTACAGTCACACAGACACATTTTCTCAATCTTTTGCTCCAACAGTGAGAAGTTGCAAAGCATGACGCGCGTATTTTATTTTGACTAACAATTATGATAACAAGGCTCCAAATTTCCCATCCTCCAGAACTTCTTAAGAACTCAATTCATTTATGCGAACCGAGCTGAGTAATTGGTTTATTTGAGTGAGTCAAGTTTGATCACAACTGTTTAAAAATTAACCAAGCTCAAACTAAGCTCAGACACTGCTTCTAACCAGCCAAGCTGAGCATAAGCTCTATAAAGTTGGCTTGACTCAGCTTGTTTACAGCCTACGAAATGGCTGATCTCATACTTAAATATGTCTCCTTATAGTGGCCAGTTTAAGCTTTCACCATGTCACCTGACCCCTTTTTTTTATCAAATATATATATATATATATATATATATATATATATATATATATATATATATATATATATATAAAGTAGCATTTTGAATACTAAAGAGTTGAACTATCACAAAAATATACTAGGCCATGTAGAAATTCCCACGTCTTGAAGAACCGGCTGGCTGGTGATTGTCCCTTCCACTTCCAAAACCTTTTCTCCTTTTGCTGATCGAAATGCAGAAAGGAGAGATGACCCTGATTGGGTCTTCAATTTTCTTATTGCCCTTTAAGAAAGACAAAAAAATAACTCCACTAGAAGTTGGATTTGATGTGACCTTATTTATAAATTCATTATAGGATAAATTATTTATGCTTGAAACTTGAACGGAGACTCAAGAAAACGTCATCAGAATATCTCCCATCAGTTAACTGGACTCATGTACACATATTTTTCTGAAAGTAACATGTATGTATGAGATTTGTCAAACCACCAAATTACAAATTCTGAGTTTCAACAAGAGTATATCTAAAGAAAACAAGGGTTGAAGTAGTTTTTAGTTTAGCATACAGTTGCCAGTTTGAAGAGAGCCTTGCATTCCTAAGCATGCTAACTCTATTTTCTTTCATTAATTCTTTCTTTATTTCTTTGTTTCTGATGCACACTTTCTTATTTCTTTACACTTAGAATAGCCTTCCTTAATTTACAATTATAGTAACATAAAAGCTAAAGCATGTGGTTCCTATTTTGTAGCATAACTACTGCATAAGACTCAGCTTAAATGAAGACTGGACTTATAAATTTGAATATCTGTGTCATGTTCGATTTTCTATTAATAGTTAATAAGTTGGTGTATATGTCTTAAGATGACTGTTCGTGTTCATTCTAGCTTCTCGTGTTTATGGTTATCTTGTTCTGAGATTTGTAACTGTAATTCTTGTTTTGCAAACTAAATCCTATTTGGTGAAAATTTTTATGATCTTTTTTATATACTTTTTTTTTTATTTATGAATTTTAGTTATAAATATTTGTGAAGATAATGACTGAAACAGGATCTCCCTTTGCAGGATTTGAAAGACTAATTGGTAAATTTGGGTTGAACTTTAGTCTTGAACAAGCTGAAGGCCCTTATTGTGGATTATAATTTTTACAATTGCAGCACCCTACGGTCTTACCATATTTTAGAGTGCTTTCATCACTTCATACTGGTAAGTCATATCTTTAATTATTTAAATATATATATATATATTTTTTATTCCAGTTTTTTTCATGCTAATAATAAATTGGATGTTAACCGCATGAAGCATAAATCTGTCAATTAAGACAGGCACCCAATTGTATATGAAACAAAGTACAATATAAAGTAACAAAATTTATTAATATATAAACAACAAAATTTTCATTTTTTTATTTTTTTATTTTCTTTTGTGTGTGTGTTTTTGTGTTTGAAGGTTGAAAGATTTGTGTAGTTATTCAGTTGTAGAAGCAACAAAAACACTTCCAGTGCTTCCCAAAAATAAAAATCATCATTATCATGGTGTTGTCATAAAACTTTATTTGAAAAAGGATAATTCTTAACTTATTTATTTGACTCGAGAAACTGATGTTATTAATATTTGTGGGCCAATTTGGGTGCTTAATTGGTAATTGATTGTGTGTTTGAATTTTGAATGTCCTAGATTCAAAGGGGGAAGCCACATAAACTTGCACTGAGAATGGCATAGACTTTATAAGTTGTAACCTTCCAGCACAAAATGAGTAGTTGGTAGTCCAAAACTCCTCAATTAAAGGATCACAGTGCTGCTTATTCAGTCTATTAGACAATAATAACACTCCCAAATATCTAATTGGGAGGGTCCTAATAGAGAAATTAAGCTTTCTGAGAATTAGGTTTTGAGTAGCAGTCTCTATACCAGATCAGAATATGACACCTCTTTGCATTATTTGGAATCAAGCTAGAAATAGAAGTTAAAACTAAATTGAGCTATTGATTCTGTCAGTATTTTAACAGATTCAACATCCCAGCTGCGATTAACATAAGATCATCAACAAAAAGGTCCATTACTTATCCTCTGAGCTGAGCATTTCCAATGGTAATCGAAACCCCCTAGAGTTATTCTCTAATTAAAAATACGAGGTAGAACCTTCATTCCTATAACAAATGGTATGAGGACATTGGATCCTTCCTCCTTCCCTTATTAGGTAAACCATACAACCATTAACATCCAAGGAAAAGAACTTTTCAACAATTTCAATAAAAGAAATAAAAATAAAAACTGTAAGTGTTTTTTTTTTTTCCTTTTATCTATTCGATTGGGTTAAGTGATGCTTTATATATGCTTATTTTTGTGTGTTTTACCTATCATTAACGTGCTTAGTTGGATTAATTCCGAAGAATGTGTATTGAATTAATGAATTAGGAATATATGAGTACTCCCAAGTGCCTTCGTAAGCTAGCAGATTTGAGATTGAATCTTTTCAACATGTAATGTGTAGAAGTGCAAATTGGTAAATTTAAGTTGGACTGTTATGTCCATATATGTGCTCTATCCTTCCTTTTTGTATCTAATGTGCCTGTGTTGGTAATTTATTTGTAGATGTTGAATACCCGGTGTTCTCCAAATAAATTCAAGGAAACGGTTTGCAATTTAAGTGAAGACAAAAAGGTTGCCGTACAAGAGATTGGGTTTGGGTCCCTTTTAGACATCGAGTGTACCATTTTGAAGCGCAACCTGTGCTTATGGTTGGTAGAACACTTTGACCCTAGAACATCTCATCTCACCCTTGAATCTGGCGCTCGGATCCATGTTACGCCAAGTGACGTTGAAGAGGTACTTGGCCTACCCTCGGGAAGAGGAGAAGATGTGCCAAATTATATTGTACAAAGTGTGCATTGGTTAGAAAATGGCATTTTTTTAAAGGACGGTGTAATAGAAGTGCCAAACTTAGTGCATCAATTAGACGTTCTTCCTGTTGGGGATGACTTCAAGAGGGCTTTTGTCCTTTTCGCTTGCGGATCACTTCTAGCACCCATATCGAAAAATGAGACAAGCAAAAGGTTATTGGCAGCGGTTGACAATGTGGATGCTATTAAATCGTATAATTGGGGGAAGTTTGTTTTAGATTGGTTGAAAAAAGGAATTGCGTCCTATAAAGGAAAGGAAGGAAGAGAAGGTTGTACATACATACATGGATGCTTGTTCTTTCTCATGGTATGTTCTAAGATATAATATTTGTAATGTGTCTATCATTTTATTTTAAATAGCTATAATGTCATTATCATAATGGCTTATATGTTGTAGCTTTTCTACCTACACCGTGTGGATGTCAATGGACCAAAACCGAAGCCTGAGATGTCATGCGTACGTGGATGGACCAACAAATTAATAGGCGAGAGGTTGAATTTGGAGAAGCATAAATATAATGGTTTCGGCTTCGGTGAGGTAAAGTTTACAACTGATACATCTGAAGATGCCGATAAGGTAATCACGTCAATTATGGCTTTTTATAATTGGTACTAAATATACGGTTATATTTGCATATTCATAATTACTTGGAACTCTACGGTTACATTTATATATTAACTGATATATATATTTATTAAACTTGTTTAAAATTGTTAGGAGTTGGCATATGAAATTATTAAAGTTGTTAAGAAATGGAAGCAACGGCACAATGTAGGCCAAGGCAGGGGGTCGAGATCCTCAGAACCCAGTTCATCCACACGACAACCTAACCCATCTTCGCAATTGTTTGCACAACACAATCCGATTGAGGAGGAAGATGAATCCCACATACCAGTGGAGGAGGAATTCGAAACCTCCACAAGACAAGCAAACTCACCCTGGCAATCTTTTACAAAACACGATCCCATGGAGGAGGAAGGAGAAATCCCCGCACCAATGGAGGAGGAAGTGGGAACCTCCACAGCAATGGAAGAGGAGCGTGATGTGCAGGAAGCAGTGATCCCTTTATTACGTGTTATAAAGCCTGGGCGCCATAAGGGATCACCTTGGGTTGAAATGAAGGTCAACCGATTGCGTGTCCTTCGTCCAGAAGCAAAGGCAGTCATCTCATATGCCATGGATGAGAGCAGAAATGATGAGTGAGAAATTATATAAATAATTTCTTATTTGCTCTATATTTACTTACTTTCTATGCTCAAACACTTAATATGTTATTGTTTAATTATAGTGAAATGCTGGTGAACATAAATGATATTTTCCTCACAAGAAAAGAGATGAGAACAATCTCTTACAATCATTGGATATCAAATATGGTATGTTCACTTAAAGTTCATTGATTTTTCAAACCAATCACACGCATGCATTAATGGTTTAAATGTGATCATTGTAGGTGGTTGAAGTCTATTGCCAAATGCTCCAGCTGAAACAAAAGCGTAGAGGAACCAAATTTTTCTTTCCGCCTTCGATTGGGGTAACAAATTCTTCTATCTATAGTGAATGTTTGTTTGACACATATTAGGTTATCAATTGTGTGCATTTTCAGATTGAACTTTCCAAGATACCTTCAAAAGTGGTTGATAGGAAAGGTAAAATACAAGCAGTTTGGAACAACTATAAAAGGATAAGGAATGTCGATGATAACAAAGTTTGCCAATTCAATATGGTAATATTTATCGCTTACAAACATAAATAATTATTATACTTTTATCAAAAAAATATGATTCTAAAAGTAATTAAATTTTTACATTGTTAAATATGCAGCTTTTCTTTCCAATACTTGTAAATGAGAAACATTGGTGCTTGTATGTCTTTAACATTTGCGATAGTCGTATGGATGTGTTGGATTCAAACAAACATTCTTCGCATGATAAGCGTACTCCAGACAAGATGTCAAAAGATTTGGTAAACGCTTATTACATATGAGCTCATTTTTTTGATTATGTATTCATTTACTGTTAAATTAAGACGGTAAAGTATACAAGTTGAAGAACGTGGTACTGAATTTTTTACTCTAATCATTTATATATTGTGCATTTGTAGGTAATGTTGGTTGAGGTATTCACCGGAAGAGATCTACAAAACTTCATATACAATGTGCCCAACGTACCTCAACAGCCCGATAGGTAATTTTATCACTTAATGTTCCTAGTTTGGTGTACTGATTATGTTCACAATTATAATTAACAGATACCTAAACAGTCTTTTATTCAGTGATAGTTGTGGTGCTTTCATGTTGGACTTCATGGAGAAATGGGATGGTTCACTCAGTCACCCAAAAGAGAAGGTGAAGCCCAATTCTATTTTTTACATGGGTCTTATTTATTTTTTTCCCCGAATGAAGAAATTACCGAATTACTAAATCACACAATCTCCTCGATACTCTTCGTTAATCATTTAATTCTCTGTTTTCTTCTAAACCATTGGTGCATTGTTAATCTAAGCACCCACTGGTCATTAGTCTTCAAAGGAAGAAATGGGTCTTGCCTTTAAAGGTTTCAAAAAATATATTTGTAAAACTGATCCACATTCCTACATACTTTTGTTCAAGGGTTGAAACTGGAGGGTCTTCAATTCCAATACATGCAAACATAATTTAAAAAATTAATGCAACCACAAAATGCATCCACTATAACGTTTTCCTTCCTCTTCACTGCACTCCCCATTCTGTTTTTACACGTTTTCCAGCTTATACCTTTCTTTTTTCTTTTTGCATCTTTTAAACCCATGTTTGTGTGCAAGTACTTCGCTTTCCGATCTCTCCCCGCTAGGCTGCAATGTCGTAGTGTCAATAGCGGGAAGACCAGGGGACTATGGCACGTGTTGAAACAAAGAGAGCGGTAAGCAACCCCTTTAGGCAACAAAATTTTCAACCTTAGAACCCCCTAATGCAGTATACCCTTAATGTGTGCCATTTTTTTGAAAGAGAAAGCATCCAGCTCTAGTGAGTTTTAATCTAACATGAAGTAAGCAACAGTACTCCCTTGTAATGAATGATATAGAAAATGTTTGACATCCACTGTATAATGGGTCCTATCGAGTAGAAACCAGCTTTGCTAGATGAGGTTTAAATGAATAGCATATTCTTAAATATTTTCAGACAGTTTTTCATTGTCAAAGAATTCAGTATGAGATCAGTAGCTTAAATCATTAGTCAACCTTGTTTTTCCTACATCACCTAACCAATTAGATACGCAAATACTGGACTCCTGTCATTTTAAATGAACATATTGCAGTTAATATGGTCACTTCACTGTACTTAGTGGTGCTCATTAAAAATGAACCGAACACAAAAGATACTGAAACTACGACATATTGAAATGAATGATAAAAAAATTTCAAAATAAATAGTCACTTTAAGATTACTTTTGGAATGTCAGAAAAAAGGTGTGTGCCATTGAGTGTTTGGAATCAGTAAAAAGGGATAACTATTTTGGGACAGGGAGATCTTTCGTATTATTAGATTTGTTTTGGTTTTGTTTATGTTCTGTCTCTGTGCTGATCTGACCAAATTGCTAACATATTTCCCAAGGATGAAGCTACCTGTTTATGCAATATTTCACATATAAAAGTTTAGTATCACCGAGATTTTGTGCATATGCCAAATTCAACATTGTTGAAAAAGTTTTCTTTATCAAATATATAGTTTCTGCAACACTAGATTCCTATCTATTTACACTTATATGTATTCACGCATGAAGTCCATTTCCCAATCCTATATTCATGATTTGTCTTTACCTGGTTTAATTTGCAGGTGGATGTTGATAAATTACGTGCAATTATTGCTTCAAATTTGCTTTCAGATGACAATAACACAATGAAGGATTTTGTAAAGAACAAAGCACTTTATCCATTTGGTCAAGCATGTTGATTTCAAGTAAGCTTCCATCAGCTTACTTGTGGTTAGTAATTTTATTTTTTATTTTTTATTTTTATGATTCTAACATCACCTCCATCAGCTAACAAGGTACCATTTACCTCAAGGAACCTCACATACCAGTATTTGCCCAGTTGGAAGCTAGAGGAAGTGGGATAGGACGATCGTTGAATTTTCTAAAAAGTGGTACCTGAAATGATGTGGGATATGGGACATTTGTATTGTTGAATAGTGTCATTTTTTTTTCATGTATTTTGCACTCTGTTGGTGTTAGCTATTTTTAAAGTTTTAAAGAATAGTAGCTTTGCAACTTTTGATTGTGGATTAGGTTGGTATATTTTTGCAACTATTGTATGGCTTATTATATTGGCATCTACCTTACATGAAATCAAATGAAGTTGCTCTTTTGGGTTCTCAGGAATTAGTATTGTATGGCTTATTATATTAGGGTCTCAATGAAATTTCTTTCACTACTATATTAATGTACTAATTTCAAATTTGATGGAGTTTAAAACTGAAGCAGTTTATAATGAATGAAAAATTGGTTTGGATCTTCCTTGGTTCCATGGTGTCGATAAATGGATAGTTTAATGAATGAAAAATTGGTTTGGATCTTCCTTAGAGAAAACGTGGTACCTTGACGCCAAAAAGAAGTACCTTCAGTTCAAAAAACGTGGTCCCTTTGGGAAAAAAGTAGTACCTTTACAAAAGGTACCAATTTTTGCAATTGAATATGGTATTACACCCCACATCGCTAATTAAGTTGCACATTACATCCACAAACAGTTCCATTAGCGCCATGAATAAGTGTTTAGAGAAAACGTGGTACCTTGACGCCAAAAATGAGTACCTTCAGTTCAAAAACGTGGTACCTTTGGAAAAAAAGTGGTACCTTCGCAAAAGGAATTTATTTTTGCAGTTGAAAACGTGGTTTTATACCCCACACCGCTAATTAGGTTTCACCCATGCATTGAAGGACTCTGCTTGATTGGTGTATAATTTATCCCAACGCTTGGAAGTAAACATAGCATTTGACCAATGTTCAGGTGAATTCGCCAAAACCCAATCGCATAACTCCCCTCGAAATACCCGCATGGCAGCCAATGCATTCTTATACTCATCTACAGTTCGAGCATATGCAATTTTATCGAGTAATTTTTTCGCATGCTCTTTACCCGAAGCCCTCAATCCTAAACTTTGTCTCCCAAGAATGGATGTAGAAAAATTCGCCGTTAGGTGACGAAGACACCATGAGTGGTACTGGGAGCCAAAAATATCTCTAATACAACTTATTAGGCTCGGATGCCTGTCGGTTAAGATTGTCACAATGCGACCATCTAGAATCTCTTTCACCTTGCTCAAGAACCAATGCCAATCATCATCATTCTCAGAAGAAACAACAGCATACGCCAAAGGCCACAAGCCATCATTCGCATCGAACCCCGTTGCACCAAGCATTGTTCCTTTATAATTGCCACTCAAGTGGCAAGCATCGATTGCTAACGTGGGCCTGCAATAGTTGATGAAACCTCGTATGGAGCACCCATAAGCTACAAACACTCGCTTAAATCTCCTATCATCCGTGCACTCCCACGATGTAATTGTCCCAGGAATATATTCTGCTATTCGTTCACACAACCACGGGACTAAAATATAGCTATCCTTGGGATTTCCCTCAATGATATGACGTGCACACTCCTTAGCTCTCCACGATTGCATGTAAGTCATTTTAGCAGAAAATTCACCGTTTATGTCTGTGGAAATAGTCTTGGGGGTGCATTTAGGATTGTCCCTAACCTTGTTCACAATAGCTCGACCCATTTCCTTCGACCAAAAAATGGCTTTATAATCTGAAATGTCTTGAGCAGTGTGAGTGTGAACATTATTAAACCGCTTGATTCTCGCTATATCACCACTTCCTTCACAACCAGCTGATAATTTCCATGGACAATTATTAACCTCGCACACAACTCTATAATATTTTCTGCTATTGTCCAAGTACTTGAACCGAAAATGATTACGAAGACCAAACAAAACGAGTGCATCTTTGAAATCATTTGGGCTGTCAAAAAACTGATCCACGCAAAGAATGTCATCAATGTGTCGGAAAGAATCCCGATGCGCATTTATCGGAGGAAATGAAGACGTTGACGCAACACTTTGTAGAAGACCAATTGGCGATGTGGCTTCAACAAATTGTCTACAAGTGGATAAAAAGGTATATTAAAAATCACATAACCTATGCAGCGCATACATCAATGTATTACTTTAAATATATGTGTCTTACCTCTCACTATGATCAGTAGGAATTGTGCATGATGCAATTACAGGCTCTGCATCTTCCATATACACATTTAGCATGGGACCACTCACTAGAAGCATCACTCTAAATCCAGATTCTCCCGTCATCCTCAAAAGTTCATTCTTGTTAGATTCGGTGGTATAATATATGACTTTACCACTCATGTTTGAAGATGAACGTTGTTGTAACTCATTTATAAATGATTCGTATGTTGTTGTTGTTGTTATCATAAAAGGGTCTGTGACACCGCCGATGTATATAATTTCCCCATTCTCATTTTTGTCAATTTTCCCATCAAATCGACAATAGCATATAATTTGTCTCTCATCCATTTGTCCAACTGCTTCGAAAATTGACTCATTAGTTTAAAAAAAAAAACTAAATATGAAGTTCAAAAAAAAATGAAATATAAAACAATTAAATATCATAATTATATAATGTAATTTAGAGATCTATTTACACCGAAACACTACTAATTCCCTCAATAGGGATAGGCGGTGTCAAGATTAAACTTTTCCTAAACACACACTACAGACCTTTTTCAAATCAAAATACAACCACAAAATCAATGCCATTGATTACTAGATAATTGTATCACTATGTGTACAACAAACATATATACAAGATGAGGGAGATTATGAGATGAATAGAGAGTTAAATGGGACAATATAGATTGAAAATAAAAAATTGAGAGTTAAATAGAGAGAGAGCAGAGTGTTGAATATTTTTCACACACAAATATTATATGTGTAAGTCTTGAAAATGGGGGAGACAAGTACAAGGGAATGTTGGAATAATAAATTAATACTAAATACATTTTTTTTATAAATTAATGCTAAATACATATATTTAAAAAGCCTCATTCATAGAGTTTGCTAGCTTTTGCATCAATTCTATCATGTGCACAGAGGTATACTCTACATGCCATTTGAGAAAGAGGCAACAATCTTGAATAATTCTTGATCTAAATTGAGTTATAATAATTAATTATACATAAAAACTAATTGGACTACCTATGTGTTGGTGGCTTTGAATTTTAACTCCTAAATTCCTACGTTCTGCTGAGGATTTAGTCTGCAGTCATCAAAGAGCCTTGAATATATAGCTTGAATACAGATATAGCTGATTTAGTCTGACTCTTTTTGTAGGAAGATACAGATATAGCTGATTTTACATAGATATTATTTTCTAACGGAGTGAATTGATACTACTCATAGCTATCGACCAATATTGTGGTGTGTATTGGTTATAACTGACAATGTGAATTTAAAATTTCAAATGGATATAACCATGGTCAGTATTAATGGTTTTAACTAAATTTTGATATTTCCATTAAAATGGTATCTCTCTTTGATTTTGGATCATGTGTGTGGTTATTAAATTATGTGTTGATTTGTAAGGTTGCTTTCAGATTTGGACAAAAATAAAATGAAAGTCTTGATAGTTTGTTGATGTAATGAGCTTAAAAATTTAAAATTATATGCTTTGAATATATATCTATATCAGTCCATGGCAACTACTGCTTAATGATAAATAAGCCGTGAAACTACTTTGATCATATGGAGCTTATTAGTTGCATCATGATTACTACTAGTTTTGTGTATGTGTTCCATTATGTACTAGTTAATGTGTGGTATTTAGGCTTATGGCCAGTGTGTGTGTGTTAAAATCATGTATAAACATACATATATATGACAAAGTCGTGTTATGTTTAAATATTTCAGCCTAACTCTTGTAAAAATTAGAACAAATTCATGTTGGTTTGGATGACTCCTAAAGGTTTTTTGTTTGGAAGGTTAAACAAGTATTATTATACCATTTCTCTCATTCCTTCTCTTTCTCCTTCCAAATCGAGGTACGTTAGGGTTTTCTCTCCCCTAATGGCACACGTGTTCTATGGACCTGTATTAGAGTATAGTTCACACTATGATTCTTAAGATTGATGTGCTTATTGACGGTCCAGTGCTGTTTCAATCTCCTCCTAACAGCACTTAACATAATCATAAACTAGATTTAGCTCAGCCATTTTGTCTTGAAGTTTTTCCTCAATCTCATTGGGAAGCTATTCATGTAGTGGCTGAAATATGTTTGTTTTTTTATGATCCAAACACACTCAAACAAACAAGAACAGTGACCAATAGCTAGCCGCAGAAGTTACAATAGGTGTAGCTAGCCTATGACAAGTGTGTTTGTGTTAAAATCTAGGTCATACAATTCTTTTTAACAGGTGTAAATCTAGCTCCCATTCTCACGATTTGTTTGTAATTTAATTTTGTTGCTTTTGCGCTCTATCTACCACTTTATGCGACTTAGTATAAAACCAAATATAAATATTAACTTACTGAATTTTTCTGTTACTATCAAATACCATTAAAGCAAAATTACAAAATTAGACCCTCCCTCACAAGAAACAAAATTTTAAGAATTTATTAATCACTCTAATCGATTGCAATAGGCTGCCAACATAGTTAATTGAGAGTCGATAATTCAAAGAGCATTTCATTTTATTTTTGTCCAAAGCTGAAAGCAACCTTACAAATCAACACATAATTTCATAATCACACACATGATCCAAAATCAAAGAGAGATACCATTTTAATGGAAATATAAAAAAATAAGATGTTTGGATACAATTGAAAATCAAAAAATAAAAGTACATGAAGCACCAGATTTAAAATTAGATTCCTCATAAGTACAAATAATTCTTTGAGACTACGCTTTCATGAGTACAAATAATTCTTTGGGAGCTCCGAGAATTAGTGGGGTAAAACCATGTATATCTCGATTGCGAGAAATATATATAATGCAGCTAAAAGAGCATAGGCAGATTTAATAAGGCAATCCCCACAAAAATCTATAAACTCTACCATGTTTGAAGGCTTTTCTCTTAAAACAGACTTTAGTAGTACTACACTTATCTGTTTCCCATTGAAAACTTTAAATCACCCATTAGCTGTTTTGATTTTGATTTTGATTTTGATTTTGATTCCTTTCCTAGTGCAAAGACATGTAGTATCCGTATTCACCTTCACATAAAGGTGGTGTCTTTGGTTTGATTGTAGTGCCAGAGTTTTGGACCAAAAAAATCAGATCCACCTCAAAGAGAGAGAGAGAGCTCTCTCATGTAGCCTTTTCAAAACAGAGCAAAATACAAAGAAATATTGTCAGTGTTCCCTCAACCTCTTCACTCCTCATTTATGAAACCTGTCTTTCTTTATTTATTTGACATCAAAGCTCTATCAAGTGAAATTCTCAACTCAACTCACAATATTATATATATATATATATATATATATATATATATATATATAATATGTTTTTGGAGTAAGTGTTGTGATTCTGTACACAATAGGAGATTATTTATTATCTATTATTAGAAAATCGAACAGATAAAATGAGAAACTTTGGGAATACCCCCCCTAAGGTAGTGTGTTTAATTGTGGCATTCATATTAAGTCATCAATTTAATATGTATGTTCCACAATATATTTATATATATGCACGGGTGTAGAATATATTAGATAAAAAAGTAGTGTTACTCTTCAATTTATACAAAAAGTAATGTTACTCTTCAATTTAGTTCTAACTTCTATTTCTACTTTGATTCCAAATAATGCAAAGAGGTGTCATATTCTGATCTGGTATAGAGAATGCTACTCAAAACCTAATTCTCAGAAAGCTTAATTTCTCTATTAAGCTCTCCTCTTCGCACTTCTTCAGCTCTCACGGCTGTTGGGGAAGTTCTTAAAAAATCGGCAAACTCTCTCTCATCTCCCAGAGAAATGCTGCCCAGAATTGACGAGAGTGGCAGGTTTTGCAGCCCCAGAGCCGCCAGAGAGATCACCTTCTATGTCCCCCTCTTACCAATTTTTGTTTTTCTGTGTGTGTATATATATAGAAAGTTCGGGCTATTTGTTTTGGTTCTTTGATGGGTTGAAAATTGCTTGAATTTCAATGTCAGGATAATTATTTATGCGGCGTGTTTGGAGGGTTATGACCCAATTCGGCTATTCAAGAAGAGAATCAACGCCCGAAGAGGTATTAGTATTACCAATGCTATGTCTTGTTTTATGACAATATGTTTATCTTCGGAGGAGTTTTTCTGCATCCCTTTTGATAAAACTGAATAAGTACTTAATTTATTTATTTATTATTATTTATATAACTGGTGTTTAGATAACTACCTACTGCTTTATATTTTCTCTTTTTCATCTCGTTAGAAACTAAATATCTTCCAAAGCATCAGTCTTGGACAGAATTTTGATCGAAATTTACTTCTTTCTTTCATTCTCTCTTTCTTTTCCCGTAAATACAATTTAGACGTAAAGGTCATATAACAGTTTTCCCATTATTGTTCGTGTCTTGTATTTTCAACTGAATTTGGGCTTAGGTATAAAGCAGCTTGCACTCTTCACCGGTTGGGGGGGGGGGGGGGGGGCGCGGGGGGAACTTGTAAGCATATCTAGAAATTTGTTGTTTAAAACCATTCAAATTTCATGAACAGATGGTGAAGAAATCTTTTCCATTTCTGGTCATTGCATGGCAATATCTTAGACTAAATTTTTTAATCGTTTAAAAATGTTAACATATTCAATCAGTCTACTAAAAAGAATTATTTATCTAATTTATTTAAATGTTGGTAATTATCAGACACCAAGGCCATCACTGACATGCTCTAAAATGCTATGTTTCCCTAGTGAAAACATTTACCAAAGACTTCCAACCTTGTAAGCTAAGGCACAAATCATAGCATAACCATGAAGATTTGTTACTTCATCTATAAGGCACAAACAGAGTAGCTTCTTCCCTTTTGTTTTATATTGAGAACTAAAATCTTTATTAGTGATTCTTAACACCCAAGATATTAATCATGAAATTATTATAAAGCATTTTCATTTAATTGAACCAAACTCAAATTTTATATTTAATTACATTTCAACCACTAAACCACAACAAATATAGTATGTATGAAAAACTTGTTTTTAATTTAATATTGTAGAACCAATACTAGTAATCTTAAACAATTCTTTTACTAAGCAAATGCAAATGGGAATGTAGATTTCACAAACATTTGATAACAAGTGTCCCTACCCAAAGACTATCACATGCATGCCTCTTTACAGTTTACATTCATTGATTGTATCATAAGGTCTCCAGAGCAAATGACTTATGAAGATAGGATTTAAGCTTGTTACCTTGGCACAAGCTAGTTAGCTAACTAGTGAAATCCAACAAAAAGCCTGTAGGCACCACACGTACTGCCACTTGCTTCCACATGGTCCTAGTAAATTTAAAGAACATGAATTATTTGGATTTAGGGACATTGAATCTC